TAATGAAGAAATAAAGGACAGTAGTTAGATGTCTATAATAATCAAACTTGTAATCACTTTAGGTATGTTTTCCAGATTAAGCAGATATATTTAGATAGATAGATGGTCTTCAAACACTTCAAAGACCTACAGAATATGGCATTTAAAATGTTTTAATGACATAAGATTTTTCTTGACAGTGAGACACATCTGCTCCTGGCAGCACCAATCTACTTCAGAGAAGATGATGGGCATCAAAGAAACTCCATATGGAGTTTGCTTTCTTTTTTTTTTTTTTTTTTTTTGGTTTTTCAAGGCAGGGTTTCTCTGTGTAGCTTTGCGCCTTTCCTGGAACTCTCTTTGGAGACCAGGCTGGCCTTGAACTCACAGAGATCCGCCTGGCTCTGCCTCCCAAGTGCTGGGATTAAAGGCATGCGCCACCACCGCCCAGCGGAGTTTGCTTTCTTTGTGGCAAAAGTTAGTCACTGGGCAAGAAACTGCCCTTACCTTAACTGCTGATAGTATGCTCTCCAAATTGGACAAGCTGGACACAAAAGAAAGTGACTGGTGAACTTTACCAATACAAGGTGGGACAGTTCTTCAAAATCCCTACTTCACAGAAAAGTCTATCAAATATACTATGCCTGTAGGCCAAAGTTGGATGCCCCAATGTTGTCGAAGAACTTTGGGTGATTGGCCAGACAGCCAGATGTCCCTGTCATTAGGTAACATTTCACCCTTCTGGGGTTTTTGATGGAATTGAAGACTAGATAGTCATAGTTAAAATTTTCCTTAATTATGATAAAAGACAAATTAGGTATAAAACTTTAGAGTCACAAAGAAAAGATAAATAATTGTGGCCGGAGTTTCCTTTCCGGGTCCCGCCAAGCCCCAGCAGTCCCTTAGCCCACTTATAAAATAAACACACAGACGCTTATATTTTTTAAACTGCTTGGCCATTAGCTCAGGCCTATCATTGTCTAGCTCTTACTCTTATATTTAGCCCATTTCTATTAATCTATACTTTGCCATGTGGCTCGTGGCTTACTGGTACCTTACATCTTCCTTGTCCTGGCAGCCACTGCAGGCAGTTTCCTCCTTCCCTTCCTGTTCCCTTAATTCTCCTTTCTGTTAGTCCTGCCTATACTTCCTGTCTGGCTACTGCCTAATCAGTGTTTTATTTATTAACATATTTGCCATACAGAACATCCCACAGCACTTCCCCTTTTCTTTTCTTTTTTCTAAAAAGGAAGGTTTTAACTTTTACATAGTAAAATTCTAGATAACAAAACAATTATCAAGCAAGAATTACAATTATAATATCTAGTCTATTTATAATAACTAGTCTATTTGGCAAAATTAAAGAAGATATCCTATCTATCTTATATTTGTGAGTCTAAGTTTTCATATCTAACTTATCTTTTATCATAACTAAGGAAAATTATAACTATCTAGCTTCAACTACGTCAAAGACCTCAGAAGGATATAATATTACCTGAGAAATGGGAGAATGATGCAAGCAACTTTTGGGAGTCTTGCAGGGTAGACAGAGACAGCTGGCAGCCTTAATGTTAATCCAAAATTCTCTTGTAAAGTTGGGGCATCTGTCTTCAGCCCACAGGGCTAGAGTCTCTCAGTCATTTTTCTCTGTGTTCTGTAGAATTTCTGGCAGTTTTCTCTGTGAAGTAGGAACCTAAAGGACCATTTTGTCAAGCAAAGTTCAGTGGTCACCTTTCCATGGGTCCTGCATGTCCAGTCCATCAAGCAGTCCAGGCAAGAACAGTTTCTTGTCCAAATGGCTATTTTTGCCAAGGTGAAGATAAACTCCATATGCAGTGTCTTTGATGCCCATCCTCCTCTCTGAAGTAAATCAGTGCTGCCAGGAGCAGGCATGTCTTACTGTCCAGAAAGTCTAAATTTTTAAAAATTTTAAATGCCATATTCTGTAGGTCTTTGAAGTATTTGAAGATTACCTATCTATCTGAAATATATCTATGTCTACCTAGAAGACTTAACTAACATGGCTACAAGTATGATTATCATAGATGACTAATTATTAATCTATTTTTTAATTATCCATTACAATTTTAAATGAGTTGTACAAACATAACACCTTAAACAAGAGTAGAAATATACACACAGTATAACAAAATCAACTTTAAGTTTGTATCAATAAACTAAAATCTATACCAATGTAAAATATTTTAAACAAGTTGTTGCTCTTTAAAAGCAGGTTCAGTAATCTACCCTTTTATCCTATCATCTCTATATCCTATATATCGATATCACATCCCCTTTTCTTTTTTAGAAAGAGATCTCATTTATAATCAACCTGTTTTAAATAAAAATACTGGTTTTTCTCTGTCCCCCAGAGGGCTCTTCTGATTTGGGACACAAGAATCTCTTAACTTTTTTTTTTTTAAGCAATGTGTCTGGGTTTAGAGGGGGAGTGAGCCAATTCCATCTCCAAAGCCGGCTTGGTATATTTGGGAATTTGGGTGTAGCTTCTCTTACTACTTCCTGCTGGAGAGGGGTGCTGTATCTTATGGGGACACAAAGAAAATTTTAGTAGTCCCCATAAGATGGAGTAGTCCATGAGGGTGTATCGTCTGAGCCAGTTGCCTGAAACTGTTCCAGATGTTGGATCATCTGGGCCATGGTGTCATTGGAGACCTTTCAGGGGGTCTTGGCTGGTCAAACCTGATATATCTTAATCTGGAGCAAATCCATAGCCTCTTGCTTTCTGTGGAAACAAAAGCAGAGCCTCCTTTCCAAAGCAACATATCCTTACATACAAATTTTGAAGTCAAGGTACCTTGAAAGTATATATTTTGGCATAACTCAACAGCTTTTACAATCAAATGTTTTTCTTTAGTTACAAATATCAAAGACAACATAATCCAGATTCTTTGTGTGATAGCCATCTTTACGTGGCTTATTACCTTTATTGTTTCTTTAAAGACTTTATTTTTAAAAACTATGTTTGTTTATATAACTGTATATATTCCTTTTTCTCTCTCTTTCAAGCCTATGTACATTTTTACATACATTGTAAACTATTCCATCTGAATTCCATATGAATCAGTCTTATTGTGAACCTATTGCTTTAAACATGCAGCATTCTAAGACTGAAACAGCACTGTGGCTGCTGGCTCTGCCCACTTCAGCTTCCCAACATGGCGGTGGTATGTTTTCCACCAGCTCTGGGAGCCGTCAACCCTCAGAAATAGTGGGTCTATGCTTCTATCAAAGCAGTGTGTATCCCAGAAACCTCTTTTTTTTTTTTAAACTAGTAAAAACTATATCCAGCACACGGCATAGTGCGCAGCTTGGAGACACCTCTGTGTAACATAGCCTAAGTCAAGCCTGCACTCGAACCACGATCCTTCCATAGCTCAAACCCGCATGTTGCTGCATCTAGCCACCAGTATGAGACATGAAGCAGGAACCTGGTTTTGACTCCGTTTAGAATTGGTTATTAAATATTTTCAGGTTTAAGGTGGAAACTCAAGCCGTTGGCTGCCATTTGTGGCTGGCATTTGCTCTCTGGGTCCTGCCAAGCCCTAGCAGTCCCTTAGCCCACTTATAAAATAAACACACAGATGCTTATATTTTTTAAACTGCTTGGCCATTAGCTCAGGCTTATCATTGTCTAGCTCTTACTCTTATATTTAGCCCATTTCTATTAATCTATACTTTGCCATGTGGCTCGTGGCTTACTGGTACCTTACATCTTCCTTGTCCTGGCAGCCACTGCAGGCAGTTTCCTCCTTCCCTTCCTGTTCCCTTAATTCTCCTCTCTGTTAGTCCTGCCTATACTTCCTGTCTGGCTACTGCCTAATCAGTGTTTTATTTATTAACATATTTGCCATACAGAACATCCCACAGCAAATAATAGAGTATTTTCTCTAATTTTGCCAAATACAAATGGACTGGATATTGTAACTGTAATTCTTACTTGATAACTGTTTTTGTTGTCTATAATTTTACTATGTTAAAGTTAAAATCTTCCCTTTTAATTAGACAAAAAGGAGGAAATACTGTGGAACAGTCTTTGTACACTGTAAATATGTATTACTCTCATTGGTTACTAAAGAGCTGAGTGGCCTATAGCTGGACAGGAAGGGATTGGGCAGGAGAGCTAGACTAGGAGAATTCTGGGAAGAAGAGCAGAGTTAGAGGAATCACCAGGAGACACAGAGGGAGCAAGACATGCTAGAGGACAGGTAAAGCCATGACCATGTGGCAGCTCATAGATTAATAGAAATGGATTAATTTTAGTTGTAAGAGCTAGTTAGTAATAAACTGAGTATTTATAAATAATAAGAAGTTTCCATGAGCGACTGCTGAGATAGAGAAACTTCATCTACAGATGCTCCCTTTTGGCCTCTGTGGGTGCCTGCACACACATGGTTCACATACATATATTCAGACAGGCACACACACACACACACACACACACACACACACACACACACACACACACTCAAAATAAATCTTAGAAAACAAACAAGCCATGGGTCACATGACAACCAATGGTTGCTTGGCAAGGCATACACCAACTCTGGTGTAGACAGGCTTAGATTTCAGGTGACACACACTAACTGACCCTGAGCATTTCAGAATAGTACGCTGAGGATTTTTGGACATTTAACAGTTTTTTTTTTTATGATGAAAGTGCTGGTGCGGTACTTAGGCATAAATCTAGAGACACTATTACGAATGACATCTGGAAGGGCTAGCATTTTGAAAAGAAGGAAGTAGGCAGCACAAAGTGAATATGGGGGAAAGTGGCCTAGAAGTAGCTCATAGCGCAATTCCGGATTATTGCCAGAAATAGCTTTGTAGAGACCACTGGGTGCTCAGGAAGAGAAACGTCTCCTGCCATGGCATCGGTCAAAATGCACAATGTGTGAATTATTAGAAGCCTCAAGACATCTACATGTCTTAAAATCTGTCATAATCCACACAGAAATTCAGGATTATTATGGAAGCGAGACTCCATTCCTAGACTGGCTTACCTGGACAACTCCGTCGTTCCCCAGGACTTTACCTCCAGGATGTCTCCAGCCTTGTTTGAGTCTCATCTTAAATTGCTGCTCTCTCACATTTTCAGAGGTCCTTTTAAGTTCTGTCTTGATCACAGAACATGTATAAATACACTGTATGGCAGAAGTGTGATGCTCGGGACGCATGAGAAAGCCAAGAACTGAACGAAAGAAAACTAGTCAGCAACCATCAGCCCCCCTTTCCACTGCAGCTTCCTATGTTAGCACAAACAAGCATCTATAAGTTAGGAAATACTGCATCAGATGAGATGGGTCCCAAATGTGAGCCAAATATATCACATATTTCAATAAAAAGTAAATTATCCCCTTCTCTATGCAGTTAATAAACATATGAAGTTCACTTCCTAGAAATTAGTCTGGATTGAAAATAGAATCATTCCTCAAAAACAAAACAAAACAAAACAAAACAAAAAAACACCTTTAAGCCAGGTGGTGGTGGTGGCATATACCTTTAATCCCAGTACTCAGGAGACAGAGGCAGGCAGATCTCTATGAGTTTGAGGCCAGCCTGGTCTACAGAATGAGTTCCAGAACAGCCAAGGCTACACAGAGAAACTCTGCTGTCTCAAAAAAAAAAGGAAATATACTTAAGAAAGGTTAATTTCCAGCTTACTGGGAAAATAGGCAGAGTGAACACAATTGGTGTCAGCTACACCTCGGAGTCAGAGAACCAGAGACCACGTATGACTTTCAGGCTGGACACTGGCTAAAAGGATCTAGAGAGTGGATGAAAACACTCTGGCAAGGCCAGTCTTGAGAGTGCTGGTCAGAGCAAATCAGAAACTAGTCTTGGAGCAATGGAGCAGGTTATGCTATGAGAGTTAGACATAGTTGAGGATCTCTTCCTTACAACTGGATTAATGTATGAGGAGATTGAGATTAGCTAATTTTCTGCATAAGTAGTGAACTATTATTTCTTTAGTGGCCTTTTAACCAAGCTCCTGAGAGTGGGCTGGCCAAGCCTTTACATGGTGGTTCCTAATGCAGGGACAGCCCACTGGCCATGAGCACATGACTTTAGGGGAGTTTTGGTTCAATGTTCTGAGGTCCAAAGGCCACAGTCTCCTAGTTCCTCAGCCCTTGCTGGACCCTCACATTGAAAGTATTAACTTTGGTCTAAGTCCTTGCCTCTTGCCTGAGCCCAGCCTTTAACTCCAGCTACTATCACCATGGTGTTCATGAGAACAAGGCCAGGTCCCTTTCTTTGACATTTGAGACAAAACCATGTACACAATGGATAGCTAAATAGAACCCTGGTGTTTTCTGAGACTATTTTTCTTCCAAATGTTCATCATTCCTACAAGCTTTCTTTTGTGATTATATCGCCCTGTTGTGCCCAGTTTTCATATTCAATGAGTGATTAGCCTGAGTCCCCCATTTCTATCTACTAACACTGTTTATGAAGTCCTTACATCTTGTAAACATTTGCAGCTCATGAAATGAAGTTTTAAAGGGCCAATCTTTCCAGTAATTCTTGGTTTAATTCTGGGTGAAGCAACGATCAGCTGGACAGGAGAATACTTTATCTAACACTGATCTCTTTCACTTTTCAGGGTAGAATTTTTTTGACCTAGATTCTGTCCCTTGAAAGGCAAATGACTGTAGATAATTCTAAAACATTGTGCTAACTGTTAATATAAAAGGATAATTCCCTAACTACATTTATTTGATTATCCTGAAAATCTGTCAGCCAGAAACTGTCCGCTTTTATCCACCTTCATTTTTTACCTTCTGAGCAGCCCTCTCCATAGCAACTAGAAATGTCTCTGGGCTGAAATAATCCTCTCCAACTCCCAGCGTACAGTCAAGGAATTTTAAAAACAGAACTTTGGAACCACAAAATGCTCTCAGAGATTTAAAGGCCCAGGGAGCTCACGATAAATAACCATTTCTCTTTCTTGAGGTAAGTGCTGGGTTTATGAAGGTTTGTGTCTCCCTCTAACTTTTTAAAAATGCTAACATAATAGTCTGAAACTGTTTTTTAAGCCATAAAAATAATCTCAGAATCTTCTTATTACCCCCAAAGTCATTATTGACTCATTTCTGGATCCTATAAGAGACGCTGTTAACATTTTGCACTCCTTATACAATCAACTGAAGACTTTTTTCTCCAAAAATTTTGACTGATTCTGAAGACTCTTCCCTTCCTCTTAGAGACTATTGAGTAAGTAGATTTATCATTCTTCTGGAGCCTTGAAATGTTCTCGTTTTTCTAAGATATTCATTATCCAGAGTCTTGATTTCTACTAAGCTAAACACTAACTATTGTTTCCCAAATATAACTAATTTTTTCTAATAAATTGTCCTCTTAAAATATTCTAATTCAGTGTAATACTGGAAATTTATTAGAAGTCATTTTCTCTTTAATTTTCTTCACTGACTTCACAGAATTTTTTTTTAATTTTTTATTTTTTTACAGTGGTGTATCTCACTCCAGGTCCTTTGCCAGGCACTGCCTGCACACAAGGGAAATGTGCCCTCTTCTCAGCATTTAACTATTTGTGGATTTAGTGTCGGTCCAGTTTCCTGGACACTGTGAGTTGGGAAGTTTCCTGGGTGGTATTTGGGGTTACATGCTACATACAAACCCCTGTTGTTGCCGCTGCAAATCACCTTGGCCACCCAACTAGTAAGTCCTTTCAAACATGTTGCAGGCACAATAAATGAAGCCTTTCCCTTTCCCTTTCCACCACAGAAATTCCTCTGGTTGTAGGTTATCCTGTGCATAGCCTCTACCCCAGGCCAACTCAAGCCAAAGGAGGAGTGGACATGTGCTTCCGGACAAATCTCCCGGTGTTGATGGTGCTGCTACCGCCCTGTTTCCTCAGCCTTGTTTCCTCTACTGAGACGAACAAAGACCTCACTCAGGATACAAGCAGCGCTGGGAGTCAAGGCCTACTAGAAGTCTTGAGGGTCCTCTCTGCCGGTGACCACCAGTCCCTCAACCATCCACGAAGCCTCATCAAAATTCTGGTCGAGAAGACTGGGTGTCCACAGAGGACACAAGGAATGCAAGGAGACTGCAAGCTGGTTAGTAAAATAAAGTGGGATTGGGTGCTTAAAAAAAGTTGGAAAGAGAACAGTGGATCTCATAGAGAGCATGTATCACAGTGAATGGCATACAAATCTCTTCATACGCAAGGGGGAAGTTTAGCATAGCATGATGATGTCTGGGTTATGACAACCCATTCAGCATCCTGCAGGGAGCATATCAAGACAAGGGATTGTTTTATTATTGGGAAAATAATGCTTAAGCTTTCTGTACCCTTTCTCCTTTTGAGGCACTGACTTGCTGGCATGCATGTTCAATCTTTCCTCCTTTCTGCTTTTCTGAGATCGTTTTCATTTTTTATTTTTTAAGCCTGCAGTAAACGTGCATGATGTTAGACAGAGGCGATTGTCTTTTCGTGAGACAATCACAGCATTCTGGCATTTGTCTCACATTCAGCTCCTGGGTCCCTCTCCTGGGTGCTAATGGTGTTTTCTGAGTTTGTGTGTGTGTGTGTGTGTGTGTGTGTGTGTGTGTGTGTGTGTGTGTGTGTGTGTGTGTATGGCAGATAGTTAACACCTTGGCTTAGGGAGAGAAATGCTGAGTTTAGAGTTGAAACTGGACCCATGCCTCCCAAGGCCTGTTCCTGTCATGAAACATTCATTCTAACTTAGCAAGTGAACCGACCCTTGTCTACTCACCAGAAGCAGTTGTGCCAGCCTCATGGTTACTCCATCGAGGCTTCCTCCTTCCCAGACTGAATCTTGACTTGCCTAGGATGTTTTTGTTTGTTTGTTTGATTTGTTTTGTTTCTTGAGACAGGGTTTCTCTGTGTAGCCCGGTGTACTCACTTTGTGTAACATGAATCTTAAAAGGTCTTATAATAAAAAACCCAGAGCCAGATATTGGGTTGAGAGCTGAAAGACCAGAGCAGCAGAACAAGCCAGGCACAAGTTCTTACCTCTATGAAATCCTCAGTCTAAAGAGAGTGAGTTCCTGTTTCCTCATGCCTTATATATCCTTCTGTGTCCTGCCATATTACTTCTTGGGATTAAAGTTGTGTGCCACTGCCTGACCTTTATGTTTAATTTAGTGGTTGCCTCTGTCCTCTGATCCCCATGTAAGCTTTATTGGGGTACACAATATATTACCAAATTTCCCCTTTTTTGTCTAAAATAACAGAAGAAGGCTATAACTAATATATGAAAAACTATATACAATAAGTATATATAATATATACAGGCAATAAATACATCAACAATGTCTAGTGCATTTGCATTTGACAAATTCAGAGAAAATACTCCATTATCTATCCTATCTTTGTGAATCCAAAAGATTGTATCTAATTCACCTATCCTAATTTGCATTACCAACCCAAAACTATCTTTTGATGTCTTTCAAACTTACATACTTTATACCTCTTTAGTGAGTTTCTTTTCTGAAATTTTTAACAAGGAAAACTGTAACCTATCTAATCTTCAACTCCTTCAGAGACTCAGGAAGGAAATAATATTAACTAAGTAAACAGGAAGTACAGGCCAGCAACTTCCAAAAAATGTGAGGAATAACAGAAACTGCTGGCTGCCTGCACAGTCACCCAAGTTTCCTTTGCAACATTAGGGCATCCATCTTCGGCCTACAGGCCTAGCATACCTGACAGACTTTTCTGTGAAGCAGGATTTTCTAAAGAGCCTTCCTACTCTGTATTGGCAAGGATCAGCAGTCCTTTCTTTTGTGTCCTGCTTGTCCATTTTGGATGGCATACTGTCAGCAGTCAATGTAAGCACGCTTTCTTGTCCAGTGGCTAACTTTTGCCATAAAGAAAGTAAACTCCATATGGAGTTTCTTCAATGCCCATCGTCTTCTCTGAAGTAGATTGGTATTGCCAAGAGCAGACATGTCTCATATTCATAGAAAAGAAAAAAATCTATGTTATTAAAACATCTTAAATGCCATATTCTATAGATTTCTGAAGTGTTTGAAGATGATCTGTCTATCTAAAATATATTTCTCTTTAACCTTGAAAACATACCTAATATGACTACAAGTTTGATTGTAATGATTAACTATTAACTTGTATTTCTTATATCCTAGTTAGTAGGCAATAATAACCTTCAAGGACTAGCAGTTTACATTGCATTGTTAAATGAACTGTATAGGTACAATACCCTGAACAAGATTAGAAATATATGTACAGTATTTTAGAACAAAATCAATCTCAAATTTGTATCAATATACAAATTTTGTATACAATACAAAAATCCAATCCAATGTAAATTATTTAAAACTAGTAGTTACTTTTTAAAAGTAGATTCAATTATCTACCTTTTTATCTTATCATATCTATGTCCTCCCCTTTTTTCTTTTCAGAGTAGATTCAATAATCTACCCTTTTTTTTTTTTTTTTTTGGTTTTTCGAGACAGGGTTTCTCTGTGTAGCTTTGCGCCTTTCCTGGAACTCACTTGGTAGCCCAGGCTGGCCTCGAACTCACAGAGATCCGCCTGCCTCTGCCTCCCGAGTGCTGGGATTAAAGGCGTGCGCCACCACTGCCCGGCTTAATCTACCCTTTTATCCTATCATTTCTATATCTTTTTTTCCAGAGTAGATTGAATCATCTACTTCTTATCTATATCCTCGTTTTTTCTTTTTCTTTCTTCTTTTCAAGAACCCCAATTCTAATTTCCTTTGGTTAGCTGTTTTTTTATTTCTTCACCATTATCAACTAACAACTTGTAAACCATCATCCTAAACAATGACAATTATCCCTAACCCATTGAAAGGCCAAAAACCACCCACCATACCTCTTGGAAATGTGGGTGTCATTTTCTTAAAATTTACTTCCTGCTGTCTGGGGCAAAGACATATTTAGGGGATCTTGAAAAGAAAATTTTTGAGTTAATTGTCAAGTCCTGGGAGAGTTAGCTGTATCATTTGTCCAGTCTCTGCATAATGGGAAAGTGCAGGGCTTGTCTCAAGTCCTTGATCGAGCAGTCTGTGAGGCTGAATCATCTCAACTAGCCACCTTGAAATTGTCCTGAGCAGTTTGTAGTCCAAAACTGATCTTTGGGTGGTGTTTGTCATCTTAGTGGTATTATCATTATCCTGATGGAATTGTTGTGTGGGACCCCATCATCTTTTTGGAGACTTCAAAGTCGCTATTAGGCATAGTCATGGTTGGTTCTCTGCAGAAAACTGATAGAGACTCAAACCCCAAATCATGTACAGAAAGCTAGATGAAGCCTTTTTTCTAAAATTAGTTAGTACTCTATATGACCATTAACATCATGACAAAAGTCCCTGTTGGGCGCCAGATGTATCACGAATCTTAAAAGTTTTTTTAATAAAAAACCCAGAGTCAGATATTAAGGTGAAAGCTGAAAGATCAGAGAAGCAGAACAAGCCAGCCACAAATTCTTACTTCTACAAAATCCTCAGCCTAAAGAGAGTGAGTTCTTGTTTCCTCATGCTGTATATACCTTTCTGTGTCCTCCCATACTTCCTGGGATTAAAGGTATGTGTCACACTGCCTAGTTCTGTTTCTCTCATATAGCCCAGTGTGGCCTTGAACTCACAGAGATCCAGATGGATCTCTGCCTCCTGAGTGATAGGATTAAAAGTGTGTGCCACCAATGTCTGGTCTCTATGTCTAATTTAGTGGCTGGCTCTGTACTCTGATCCCCATGTAAGTTTTGTCGGGGTACACAATATATCACAACTTGGTAGACCAGGCTGGCCTTAAACTCACAGAGATCCACCTGCCTCTGCCTCCTTGAGTGCTGGGATTAAAGGTCTGTGCCACCACTGCCCAGCGAGTGGGCTTTTAAAAACCCTCTCCAGATTGCTGAAATTGGTGGGGACTGAGAATCCGTCTGTCATTAGAGTCTTTGGGTGTCATGAGAGGAGGTTCATCAAGTCCCACTATGGAGGAGAACCTGGGTCTTAAAACAACTATCAACACAATCCCTCTTTGTGACCCCATTCCAGACCAATGAAAATTTTAAGGAAAAACTTACAAATACACAGATAAGTTAAAACATAAACAAGTAAAAAAGAAGCATGTAACTGCTTCCAAAGTAAGTTGTGACTGGCTTTCTCAAGCCAGCAGAGTTCTAGGCTAAGGATGTGGTCAGTGAATGCATTTCCCAGTCACATATTTCTGGTTTTGCCTTTCTTGTGACAGAAAGGGTCTTGCACAGATGGATTTTTTCTCTGCTCTTTGTGAATGGTAAATATTTCCATAATTATTAAAATGTTCAATGGTTCCCAGAGGAGATATGTTATAATAATAGGCAGCTCGTCTGTGATGACATTAATAGATATAGATAATAACAACAGACATCCCACTGGAAATAACCAGGAGTCATATCTTATTAATGTCCACTGAGAATCTGCTCTGGGACCATGTTTGTCTTCAATGACATGAAATGCCTTATTAAAGGTGGTTGAATATTAGTTTTGCTGGGTAAATTATTCCTCATGTTTGGGACTGAGGAGGAGTGGTTGTTTTATGTTTTTTTTTTTTGTGTGTGTGTGTGTATGTGTGTGACATTATCAAGGGTTTGGCCAGTTAGGCTTCCACTTGAATTATATTTATTCCTGGGCTTTGAAATGCTCAGTCTGAGAGTGTTGCGTGTGCATAGCTGTTCTTCCTGTTCTCTGGGAAACTGAGGAGAAGGAAATGTGATAGGAGAGGGGCTTGATCCCCCTCAGCGTTCCTTCTGTAAGAAGCCTAAGCAATGTTTTCTTGTCCTTCGTGAAAAGCCAGTGGAAAAAATCATTCAGCTTCACAGTCACTCAGGTTCTCGCTCCAACCACAGGGTATGGCTTGTTGTGAGTCTCTTCGCTCGTTTTAGACATCTTGTTGACAGGTGAGGCAAGGTACTCTGTGGTAAAGCATGAGAGCAAGAGGGTGAGTTTGTATCTCTCAGTGTCTGGGAAAAGAAAGACTCAGGTTGGTGGTGCTATTGAATTTGTGAGAAGGAAAATGTAAAATGGGATTATAAAAATCAATATGAGGTTTCTGAGGGAAGAGGTGCTTAAAAATAAAACCATTCAAGTTGTAGTCTTTTAAAATGAACAGTTTGGTCCTCATCCTGGATTTCTTTATTTTATTTATTTCTCTCTCTCTCTTTCTTTCTTTCTTTCTCTCTCTCTCTCTCTCTCTCTCTCTCTCTCTCTCTCTCTCTCTCTTTCTTTCTTTTTCCAGAGCTGAGGACCAAACCCAGGGCCTTGCACTTGCTAGACAAGCGCTCTACCACTGAGCTAAATCCCCAACCCCGGCTTTCTTTATTTTTAAAAGTGAGAATAATTGGAATGTTTTTATTTTTCAGTGCCAGGAAGAATTGAACCTAGGTCTTCATGCATGCTGGGCAAGAGCTCGGCCAACTGCCCTGTATTTCTAGTCCCTAGAATAGAGTTTTAATGGACTTACAGAGTGATTAAGTAACCCCCATAGAATAAGCCCACTCACAGTGGGAATCAGGACCCTGCATACCTTTCTGGAGGGGAAATACCTCTGTTCTGGAAACTTCCAGCTATTGAGGCATATTGAACTTCCTTTTCTGATCCTTAGTCAAAGGTAATGAATCTTCTCTGGGATACCGCTATAGCAGTGGTTCTCAACCTTCCTAAAGCTGCAACCTTTTAATACAGTTCCTCATGTTGTGGTGACCCCCCAGCCATAAAATTATTTTCATTGCAACTTCGTAGCTGTAATTGTGTTATTGTTATGACTCATAATGCAAATATCCGTGTTTTCTGATGACCTTAGGCAATTGCTGTGAAAGGGTCACCCGTCCTCCAAAGGGGT